GGCTGGGGATTTAGCTCAGCGGCAAAGCGCCTGCCTGGCAAGCGCAAGGTCGTGAGTTCAGTTCCCGGTACCGGAGAAAAAAAAAAAAAAAAAATGTCTCCAAGGGGCTGGGGATTTAGCTCAGCGGCTCAGCGGCTCAGCGCCTGCCTGGCAAGCGCAAGGTTGTGAGTTCGAGTCCCGGTACCGGGGACAGCAAACAAACAAACAAAAAATATCTGGAAGACAGTGTTCAGGTAGCAGGAGCTGTAAGTGGAAACATCCTGGGGCAGTCATAGAGGAAATGAGGTTTGTAGGGGGAGATCACCAGGGACCTCAACTTGCAGGGAGGGCTGGGTAGTTTTTCCAGAGTTCTTAGCAGGTAAGGTCCTGGTTAGATCTGCATTTAAAAAGAACTCCCCAGGCAGCTGTGAGAAGGGTCTGACTACCGGGGCACAGAGGCCCGGATGGAGATCCAGTGCCCCCCAGGTCCCCTAAATACGAGCAGTCACTCTGCACTGTCCCTCACTGCCCCGGAGGGCCAAGGTAGGAAGAGCCGTCCTCGGCCCGCCCTGACGATTTTCCGGGGCAAACTTGGCTCCACTGCGGCTGGGATCACAGTTGCGTTTGGGGCTTGGCCCAGGGCTCACTGGAGGTCTCGGCGTCTGTCCGTGCGAAGAAGCCGGTGGCGCAGGCCAGCCGAGGCGGCGGGGTGGGGGCGGCCCGGGCGGGGGCGTGGGGCCAGGGGGCCGCCCCGGAGGTCCCAGGCAGCCAGCCGCCCGCTAATTCGGAATTCCTCCGGCATGAACTCGGGCGTGCCAGCGCCTCTGCCATGGCCCACCCACTGCTTCCTGCCTGGGCCCCCCCAGCAGGGTGGGAAGCACAGCCAGCCCGACCCCAGGCCCAGTCTCAGCCCTCCCAGGGTGGGTCACGCCCCTCCTGCCCCCACCCCCAGCCCTATCTGGCCCGAAGGGGGTCTCTGGGGGGTCTTGGCTGGGGGGTGTGCCCCTCTGCCACACCCGCCTGGCCCGGTACGGCCAGTCTGCCAGCAGCTGCAGCTGCCATCCCCGGGCTGGGATGGGGACAGGGGGCTGGAGGGGACAAGGCCGAGCAGGCCTGGACAGGCCAGTCCCCAGTGCCTCTGCCTAGCAAGCAAGGTCAAAGGGACGCTTTCTCCTCCGGGGACAAAGGCTCGGCCTTCAGTGGAGCACCTGGCTTTGCTGTCTGGGCTCGCGGTTCCTCATCCCAGAACGGAAGACCGCGTGCTACCTGCCAGGGGTTCCTGTGTGCTAGCGGGTGGGCAGGATGAGCAGGCTGCATGGAGACCCCACAGCCTGCAGCACCTGGGGACCAGCAGACCAGCACCACTGTCCCGCCCAGCCCAGGGTCCCTATGCCTTCCCTCTCTAGGTTCTGGGGAACAATGAGCCGGGTGCTGGGGGTGCAGGGGAAACCAGCAGCTGGGAACAAGCCACTGAGCCTGGAGGGGCGCTTGGCCTGGCTCGGAGGGGCTCCCAGAAGTCGCCCCAAAGCCAATCCCTAGGCTGGGCTCTGCCCCCCTTCGCGGCCTTCTGCCCCTCCTTTCCCGAAGAGCTGGGGCCTTTACAAGTTTTTTTTTCTTTTCCCTTTCAAAATCTGGAGCCGCTGCTGTTATTAAAAAGGAACGCCATGTGTTTTAAAAGGGAAAAGTGTGAGGTTCTCTGAGAGCTGAGCGGGAGGGTGGCCTCAGTCCCAGGGTCCCCGCGGGGGTCTCTACCTCGAGTCCCCCAGGTACCTGCAGACACTTTACGACCCACCAGCTTGCCGGTCAGGTGCTAAGACACACCGTAAGTGGAAACATATTGTCGAGGTGTGAGAATCTTTTATTTAATTTCTTCTCCCTTAAAGGAAAAAACACATGCACAACACCCACCCCACCCCCCACTTTCGCCTGTTGCTCTCTGTCTAGCAAACAAAGGTCCAGGCCACCCATCCCCTGGCAGAGGCACAAGGACCCCAGCAGGCCCTAGGTAGTCTCTCACCTATGCAGGCTCCTAGGGCAAGCTTGTGCCCGCGAGGTGCCCTAGCCCTGCCCTTTCCGGGATGGCACCCCTGAGCCTGTCCTGCCTGGATGCGGACACAGGGTCGCCGGGAACGTCCCCTGCCACTGTGCCTGCGAGCGTGCTCCTCGGCTGGCTCCCCGTGGAATGAGGGTAGGACCAGAATGTGTGTGTGTGTCGGGATGGAATGCGCGCGCCGCGATGGTGTGCGAACGTGCATCTGGGACGCAGTGTGTGAGCGTCTGAGGGCGAGGGTGACGGGACATAAGCCAGTGTGAGTCTTTGTGTGTCTCTGGGTGTGTCCCAGAGTGGGTCTGGATGTGGAGACCGTATCCTGGCGGGGGTGTGCACTGGGCGGGGGGCCGGAATGCCTGAGGCCAGGAGCGCCCCTCGGGGAGGGGCCTTGGGCCTGCGGGTTCCCTGGGGGCCTCCCCCAAAGCCAGGGCCCGCAGTGCCCGCGCTCGGACTCCCGCTTGCTCTCGCTCTCACCCACCCGCTCACAAAGACTCCTCTCGCTGGAGGCTCGCAGCCCGTGCAGCCTGGATGAGGACGGCTCTGAGCGCCGCCGGTGGCGGGGGACTGCGCGGATCCCCGTGCGCCGGGTCCCGCGGAGGGAGGGCGGCGGCGCCGGCCCGCGGAGAGGCGC